AAAAAAAACATGGCATTTAAAATACAATAGTGTTTTAATAAGTGTTATGTATACGCAATGATAAAAAAATGTTAAATTTGAATTATGTAACACAAAAACAATTGTATAAGTATCAACTCATTTGTTCAAGTTTTAATTGCAAGTTTTTTCTTATAATTTCTTGCTCTCTCCTTTAGAGCTATTTTAGCGTGGTTTTTAAACTTATAAAATTAATAAAAATGTTTTACAAAAAAAAAGAGTAATGAAGGAACTTTTTAAATATAAAAATAAGAGGAAACGTGATCTAAATATATATTAAAATAGAATTTAAAAAGTTTTGTCAAATGCAACTTTCTTTTTAACAATTTTTCTAGAAAATGTTATGATGCTTGAATAATCAAATATCAGAAAAATAACCATTGCTGACAATTGGTTTTTTGATGTGTTTATGATATGATGCCAAACATTACAGTGTAAAACTTTTACTAAAATTAAATTACAGTAAAAAACTATTACTAAAATTTAATCAATTTTATTTTTTCCATGAGTTTTTTTATATAAATATCAAAAATATCCACAAAAATGCTTATTGCCCGTGTCATCTGTTTTAGGCGGGTGATTCACTGCTTGTGCACTCGTTTACTTCTGCCAAGACCTGTATATATATGCAGTCAAATCCTCAAAGTAAAATTACATTTTACTTTAAGGATTTTACTACGACTGTTTTAAAACATTTTAAAAACATGCTGAATAAAAAATTTTATGAATTATACCTTACATGAAAAAATTACATCAAAATTTTTAACAAATGTTTTTATATTAGCGAATTGCTTTTAGATAAAGTAACAACTTACTTTTAATGGTTGTTTTTTTTAAGTATAATTGACAGTTGTATATATATTTTTAATTTATAGTGTATAAATTGTTAAAGTGTGCATTTTTTATAATAAACGTTATTAAAAAATAAAAAATTGTTTTGTTTTTATAAACGATGACATTGTACAACAATGAAAGTCTCTTTAATGAATTTTAATATAAGAATAATTAAAGTTAATACATTTGAAAAGATAAACAAAATTTCATTGAAGAAAAAAAGACAAATGTTTTAAAAAGCTGTTACAATTAAATAAGTTTGATCTTAAATACTTTAATATTATTGAAACACTTTTTAATGAAGTAACAAAACACTTTCAATGAATTTTTATAATAAGTGTTATATATTTTTACTAATATAATTATGTACTGTAAACTGGGGTAACTTTGGTCTTTTATAAAAATTTTAATCAAACATCTGTAACTTTTAAACAATTAAATAACATTTTATTATTTTTGTTTTATTTTTAAATTTTGATCTGAAGTTTGTTGCAAATGTTCTTTACTATAAGTGAAAAAGAATGAAAACTACATCTTTGTAAAACACAATAAAAAACTGTAAAACAAAATGTTATCTGGGCAAAGATAAAAATGATAGCAAACAACTCAGTTTTTCTTCTATTTTAAAGAAAAACGTTCAGATTAAATTAAGCGAAAAGTTTTTGGCTCAAGTAACAACATTCTGTTGTTTTTTTTACAGGGTGGTTAAAGTTACCCCGTAGGTTTATACTCTTTTGGGGTAACTTTAACCATTTAAATAATATTCATTTTAAAGTAGTCTGATCGTTATTTATTATAACTAGAATATTTTTATGAAGCATGTTGTCCATATAATTGATTTTAAAAAACAGTTTTTGGCATGAATGTATTTTACTCTTTTAAAAAAAGTATATTTTCTTGTTAAACTGTTGTTGTTGTTGTTGTTGTTGTTGTTGTTGTTGTTGTTGCTAAATCATAATTTTATTAACTTTATAATAAAATTAAAATTATAGACTCTTAGTTTTAAATTAAATTGCAATTTAATAAAATTATATAATAGTTAATGAAATTACTACATTGCAGTTTGTTTGTATTGTTTATTTACTTTTGTTTAAAGCATAATGCTTTGTAAATATAACAATCATAGTGTTGGAAAACGTGCATACAACACTTGTTCTAATACCATTCTTTTGAAAGAGTGTATGGGTGCAATTAATGAAAGTATGTCTATTCTTTAAGTCTCAAAAAGGTTTAGTACACCAAGAAGCACTATACATAATAAAATGAAGTCAAAACATAAAAAATGCATTGGTGCACCAACCATATTTACTTATGATAAGGAGCAGTTATTTTCATCTAGAATCAAGGTTATGTGTGATTGGGGATTTCCATTAAATAAACTTGATGTTAAAATGTTAGTAGCTGGTTATTTAAAATTGCAAAATCGTACTGTAAAAATATGTAAAAACAATGTTCCTGGTGATGATTGTGTTTCAAGTTTTATGAAACGTTCACAGTTAACTCATAGAATTGCATCAAATATTAAAAGAAAACATGCAGCTATAAATAAAGAACAATTAAAAATTTATCTTGAAATTATTAGACTTGAGCTTAAAATGTTGCAGGGTGGAATTCAGGAATTCCACCTTGCAACATTTGGAGTTATGATGAAACAAATTTGCGTGACAACCCTGGAAATAAAAAAGTTGCTCTGAAACGTGGAACTAAGTATCCTGAGAAAAGGCTTGTTTCTCAGTAATGTTTTGTGGAAATGGAGTAATTCTTCCACCATACACAGTTTTTAAAAGCACACACTTATATGATTTATGGATAAAACATGGTCCAAAAAATTCTCGCTTTAACAGAACCCAATCTGCCTGGTTTGATGAAGTTACTTTTGAGGATTGGTTTTTTAGAACATTATTGCCATGCGTTAAGAAACAAACTGGGAGAAAAGTATTAATAAGTGACAATCTCTCTTCCCATTTAAGTCATAAAGTTATTCATTCTTGAGAAAAACATAACATTAGGTTCATATACCTTCTGCCCAATTCAACCCATTTATTTCAACCTCTTAATGTTGCATTCTTTGTACCATTAAAATAAGCATTGAGAAGTACTTCAGGATTGGAAACTTAGTTACCAAAAAAAGATTTCTCTAAGTTGCTAAATGATTCAATGACATCCATTAATGAATGTTCAAGAAAAAATTTAATAAGTGGATTTAGAACTTGTGGTTTGGTGCCATTTAATCCTAATGCAGTGTATATCAAATTACCAAGTGAAAACACCTTAAGTCCTTGTAAAGCTTTAGACCAGATCCTTTTAGACATATTAAATGAGAAAAAAAATTTAGGTGGTGATAAGAAAAATGTTACACAAAGTAAAAGTAAGAATAAAAAAAATGTCCAAAAAATAACTTAAAATTGAACCAGGAAAATCTATTTCTGTCGAATATGATAGTGAAACAGAAACAGCATCTAAAGGTGAATCAGTCCCTATTGAATTTATGATAGATTACTGAAGAGACTTGAACTTTTTTTTTTTTTTTAAAAAAAAAACAGTTTATGTTACAAATTGTTTGTTTATTTTTTAGTAGTCTCTTATTTTTTACTTTTTCTTTCCTCATTATTTCCATAAAATCTTGGAATTGGTGAATACAATGAGTACACCATTTTACTAATTAAATGACATTAGTAATGCACAACTTTGAGCATCAAAATAGTTTTGGAAAATGTTCCTTTTTTTCAAACAGTTATCTTCTTTATCAAAATTGGTATAAAGTTACCTCGGTTTACGGTATTTTTTATAATAAATGTTTAAATAAAACAAAGTACAAATGGTAAAACAAAGAATAAAATGGTTTTTTAATGTGTAAATTAAATAGGCTATTACTATTTTAAAAATCATTAAATAGCGTTTAATGAGAGCCTAGGCTCTTATTAAATACTATTTAAAATAATTTTAATAAATCTTTTTGTATATTTTTTAAAATTATAATGATGAATGCTTTTTGATTTTGGATCGTGCTAAAAACAAAATTGAATTAAAAATGAATCTGGTCTTCAAGTTTTTAGTTTCTAAAAACCATAAACTCTGTTTTTATCACAAAATTAAATTGTTCAATAAAAAATATTTATATTGATCTTGAAATTATGTTATAAAACCATCATGCAAGTTTTATAATGGTAAACATATTGTTCTATCCATCAGCAGAAATGACTTTAAAACTCTCCATTCATCATATGTACTAAACAGAAACTTGCGGTTTAATTTAAAAAGAACAATGGTTATTATTTGAAAAATTAGCAGTAAAAATTTGAGGTTTTGCTTCAATAAAAATAAATTAAAAATATGTGTATAACAATTAAATAAAATGAGTGATTTTTTAAAAAGTGTTAGGTAATGCTGTACTAAATAGTGTACTAAAAAACTAATTGTATTAAAATCAAAGAATGATTATTTTGCAAGTTTTCTTATATTTTTATTTATTATATTATATTATTTAGTTCCTTTAAAAAATACCAACTACTAAGCTGATAAAAATATATTTATTCAAACAAGCCGAAAAACTATTTTTTTTTTTTTTCAAAAAATAACTTGGCACCTTTTGGAAAGACACTCCTCATATATATTTATTAATGATATTAAACATTGTTTAATTTAACAAGTTTTGTCTTCAACAAAAAAAAACTTTATCAAAAATATTTTATATAAAATTTATTAATTAACTAATAGTTTTCTCCCTCCCAAACTCTTAAAACAATCATGATCTTATACTCTCATTACTAGGTTAGCAAGCAGTAAAATGATATTGTATAGTTTATTGTATAGCACTTTTTATTAAACTGTATCAATGAATGTTTAAAAGTTTTAATGACTTTAATGTTTTTTTATTCAGATTGAAAAAAAACGAAAAACTAAACTTTAATAAATAAAATGACACATTTTAAATACAATTCAACAACAAAATCATTTCTAAAAGATATAATCAAATTTGCTCTATATTACTTTTAATTTTTCACATATTTGAGCTATTACCTTTACTACATTAACTACTAGTACTACTAATAGTATCCCCAGTAATAAGAATAAGTTTATTTTGAATATCATACTTATTTTTAACTTATAGTATTAGTTAACGCAAATGTATTGATTTTTTTCCACAGAATGAAGATGGATGGGAACGGACCTTAGTCACTCTCGAAAAGGTAGTTTTTTAAATTAATTTTTTGATTTAATAAAATTAAAAATTATTTTAGACAAGCTTGAATAATAAAACTAATTTTGATAATTATCATTGTGTGGTGAAATTTTGTTTTAGAAAAGTGCAAAGCAAGGTTTTGGTATTGCGATTTCAGGTGGTCTTGATAACCCTCATTTTAAAACTGGAGATACCTCAATTATTGTCTCTGATATTGTGCAAGGAAGTCCTGCTGACGGAAAACTCAAGTATGTTTTTTTTTTACTACTGTTTTTAGTTGATATATGATGTAAAGTTTTTATGAAAGTATTTCATTTAACAAAATATCAACAAACTAAAAACACACACATTAGTCTGTACACCAATCTGCCTGTCAAAGCAACCAACCAGTAAATCTGCAAGACAAAATGACTGATGATTATTTATTCTTACAGAAAGATTGTTGTGCTGGTCAGAAATGTGTTGACAATTCTACGCTTATTTTTGAGTTATTAAAGAACTTAATCTTATAATAAAAGTAGTTGTTATATGTGTGTGTGTGTGTGTTTATATATATATATATATATATATATATATATATATATATATATTTATGTATGTATAGAGTTGGTGATATCTTAATATCTGTAAATGAAAGAAATGTTGATGGTCGTTCACACCATGATGCTGTTGAAGCTCTTAAAGCAGCTGGGATGGAAGCTAGAATGGTATTATTTTTCACATCTTTCGTAACTTTAAATTGTCAAGAGTTTCTTTGTTTATTTCCCTCTAAATTAAATAATAAATTTTATGTTGATAACATAAAATTTATTAATCAATTTTGAGGGAAATAATCTTTTTTTTTTATATATATAGAGTTTATATATAAATAACATTTTTGAATTCTTAAATAGTATTTATCTATTAGGAAATAAAAAGACCATCAAGTAATCCTCCAAAGAAAAATGTTGACAACTTAAATGATAGCAAAGTCAATGGTTCTAAAGAAACAGACTCTGAACGAGGTAGATCTCGTAAAAAACCAAAAGAAATGGAACAAGAGAGCGGCAAAAAACACCACTCTAGTCACCAAAAAGAGGATGACCATGATGGTGAAAAGCCTCGGCATAGAAGCAAAAGTAGAGAAAAAGGAGAAGAAGGGGAAAAGTCAAGTAGAAGTCACAACAAAAGTTTAGAAGATAATGCTGACACAGATAGGTCTGAAAGGTCTCATAGAAGTAGAAGTAAAAACCGAGAAGATAGTGAAGGGGGAGATAAGTCAGAAAAATCTCATAGGAGTAGGAGCAAGAATAGAGAAGATAATGCTGAAGGAGAAAAATCCCATAGAAGTAGAAGTAAAAATCGAGAAGATGCTGAAACAGGAGAAAAATCTGAAAAATCTCACAGGAGTAGAAGTAAAAATCGAGAAGATGCTGAAACTGGAGAAAAATCTGAAAAATCTCACAGAAGTAGAAGTAGAAACAGAGAAGATGCTGAAACAGGAGAAAAATCTCATAGGAGTAGAAGTAAAAACCGAGAAGATCCTGAAACTGAAGAAAAGTCCCTTAGGAGTAAAAGTAAAACTCGTGAAGATCTTTCAAAAACAACTGAGTCTGAAAAATCAGAAAAAATACCTAAAAGTCAAAGTAAGGCTTCTTTAGGTGGAATGGAGAAAGAAAATAGTGATAGACAAAAAAGTAAAACTCGAGAAGATGCTGGGGAAGAAGAGAAAGCTAGAATTATGAGTACTCAAAGTAAACCAAATATCATAGAAAGTAGTGATAAACATAGAAGTAGAAGTAAAACACGAGAAGATACCGAAGGAGTAGAAAAACCTAGAAGTAGAAGTACTCAAAGAAAACCAAATGATATGGAGAAATTAAATTCTAGCAGGGCAAATGAAGATGGTGAAAAAGCTTCAAGTCGTAGTCGGAGCAAATCACGAAGCAGAGATGATTTAACTCGTTCAAAAAGTAAAGAATCATTACATAGAAGCAAAAGTAAGGAAGCTTTAAATGTAGACACAATTAAAGTGGTTCTGAATCGTGGAGATCAAGGATATGGTTTTTCACTAGGTCAACAAATTTTTGTTAAAGATTTAGCAAAAGATAGTCCTGCTGCAAAAGCTAAAAATTTGGAAAAGGGGGATATTGTTCGTGAGGTAAACAAGTTTAATATAAAGATTTATTTGCAAGATTTACATAGTTTTACTTTGATTTTTTTTTTTTCCTAAAAAAAATTAAATTTGTTTTTTAATCTTTTGTTGTTGAAATTTGTAGATCAATGGCACTCCTCTGGATAATTTAAAGATTTCAGAATGTATAGAATTAATACGAGGGGCTAGTGAAACTTTAACTTTAACTATAGTTAAAAAACCAAAACTAGAACAAGATATAGTACCTGAAAAACCTAAATCATTAGAAGTAAACGATGAGAAACCTAAATCTAAAGAACCATCTTCTGGGAAAAAAAAACAAGAAGTCTCAGAACCCTCTCTTAAGACTAAAGGTATTTTTTATTTATTTATTTTTTTCCTTAATAAGCTTTATATAGTTTAAATGGTTATGCTAAATTGTTCAAAGTTTAAAATTAAAATTAGAACAAAAGATGGTTCACAAAGAGCCTGATCAAAAATCATCTAAAATTACACCTCCAGATCGTCATTCATCTCCAGTACCCTCAAATGATAATCATAATGACACCAAAGACTCTTGGGCTGAAGCTACTCCAAAAAAACATTTTTCAAGTGCAGCACATCCAAATCAGGAGGTAGAAGATATGAATGCAAAAATTGAACGTTTAAAGAGTAATCGCAAGTTAGAGCGAAGAATGTCTCAGCTGTAAGTTTTTCATTCTATTCTTGTTTATATATAATAATATCTCCATGCTATTAATTTCTTAGTTTTTTTTTTTGTTTTGTTATTAAAATATGGTTTTGGTGCACAATCAGACACTATTAAAAACTATAAAATAATAAGTTTTAATCTTTTTTTGTGTGTTATTTTGTATCACTTTATTTTGTAATCAGTTCATGTGGGGCTTCATACATTCATTGACTAAAAGTTAGGCAGGTACTTTTTAGATATAAAAGACATTACAGCAAAAATGTATTTATTTTTTTTATTTTTTTTTTTTTGGAAAAACTGTTGTATTAAAGTCAGCATTCCAAAACTTTATGTATGCAAATTATATTCGAATTATATACGAAATTATATTCCAATTATATTCAATTCAAATTATATTCGATCTTAATATACAGCCTATGGCCAACTTTAATATAAAGTCCCTGGCCAAATTATTAGATGTATTATAAAATTCTATGTAAAATCTTAATTATCAGATAATCTTCTTCAGATATTACTATATATAAGCTTTATCAGCCCTCAGATTAAGGGTCAGCATTTTGCAATGCCTACCTTATTGCTAATCTAAAAGTGTTTGAGGTCAGTAATTTTTTGATGACCTTGTTATGTTGTTATGGTGAAACCCATATGTTAAAAATTTTGTGCCAACCTGATGGCGACCAAAAATAGTTTTATGCTATGGCTTTTCTCTGTTTTCCATTAAAATAATATTATAAGTGAAGCATTTTACACTATAGTCAGCTCACAAATGCAAGGCTACTTATCTTAATTAGCTCTGCTATTGTAATGATATAGATCTTAATTAGTTCTGCTATTGTAATGCTTCCTTTACAAGTAATGGTGTAAAGGAAACATGGTTTTACACCTAATGGTATAAAAAAAGATTAATGTCGATCTTTGCATGATAAACATTAAAACAATCAGTAGAACGTATTCCTGGATTTTTTGTACAAATTTAAAATTAGTAAACAGTTCTTCTAACATCCTGTGTTTTCTCTTGCTGGATTCGTGCTAGGGATGTTGTCATCTAATAGTAGTCACTTTTTTTTTCTTGATTATTGCAATGTGTTTAACTGCTCAATGAGGGTTTATTTGTAGATCAGCTAGTAGAGTTTGTTTTTACATTTATAACTTTGTTTAGAACTGCTACTACCAGCATTCAGAAAATAATTTTCCTACACTGTTTTTAAGACTTGTGTAGAAATAAATAACTAAAATTATAGTAATAACTTTGTTCCATTTATATTAAATAAATTTCAAATTGTTATTATCAATTTTTTATTTACTATAATGATTAGTTTTGATTACTCTCCAAGTAGCTTATTAGTTTAAAAGCAAAAAATTCATTTCATGTGTTTAGCTTACTACAAGCTATGGTCCTTGATCGCAAAAATTTAATCTTTTTTTTTTTATTAGGCCAAATGCAAAGGTAATCTCTTTTCACAAAACAGGAAGTGTTGGAATTCAAGTTGCAGGTGGTAATTCTGTTGGTATTTTTGTTGCTGCTATACGTCCTGATAGTGCTGCAGCAAAAGAAGGGCTTAAGCCTGGAGATCAAATTATTATGGTAATTTTTTTATGACCACAAATCCATTTTGTTTATTAGATAAAAAATAAAGATAAAAAAAATTAAAAAGAAATTATAGTCATTTAAAGTTCTGGAAAAAGAGTGAGTTTTAATAAATAAGTTATTATATTTCTTGTTAATAACACAAAAAGTCAATTACTTTAACTTTATCTATAAAAATAATATTTTTTTCTAACAAAAAAAAAAAAAGTTATAAAAAAAAACTGTTGTTTTTTTTTTATGAAAAGTTGTAAAACTCTTATTCATGAAAATTGATAAAATAAACAATTAAAGATATAATTATCTAACGTATTAAACTTTTTTTAAACTTACTAACTTTTCTTTTTTTTATTTCTTTTCTTTTTCTCATATATATATTTTTTTTTATTCTAATTTTTTTTATTTAACATTTTATCTTTTTCTTCTTTCTTTATTTCTATTATTTTATCATTGTTTTTTTTTTTGTTGTTGTTGTTTTTTTGTTTTTTTTTAATTTAATCACTTTTATAATTGAATTTTAATGTTGTTTATATTGCTTTGTGATTTATTATCATTTTCTTAATTTATAGTTTTTATTTATTTCTTTATTATTTCAAATTTAGTGCAATGAAATAGACTTTGAAAACATAACTCGTGAAGAAGCGGTCTTAATTTTGCTTGCCCTTCCTGATGATGTATCACTTGTAGTCGAAAGCAAACAATCAAGTAATTTTTGCATTTATAATTATATTTTGCATTTATAGTTACAATTGCAACTTACAATCATCTGAAGATACATTTGGCATTTGATAGTTTTTCTAAGATTTAAACTGTTTATGTAAATCAAGGGTTGAATTAACGCATCGCGATTTGCGATATCTGTTAAATTATCTGGTCTTCAAATTTTGAGTTTATGGAAAACCACGAAATTTACGGAATAGGCGAATAAACTTTAATTTGTTAGTGAAAATGTTATAAAAAACAAAACAATAAATTTACGACTACAAAAGTAATAACACTACAGTGTTGTTACTTTTATAACACTCTTTTAAGTTACATTTATAGTTTATTGTTTGATCAAACAACACATAATCAAGATATTATAAACAAAAATGATTTAGTTAAGTAATTCCAAACTCTAATTAAAGTAGTAATGCATCTAAAAAAAGTACAATGGATATTTAAACAATGTTAAAAACCTCAGCAACTTTTACGAATACATATTTTTATAAATAGTTTAGCATTTCTAAACATCTTACAAACGGTCCGGAAAAAACGCGCGTTTACTTTAAAATCAACCAATGAAAACACTGGTAATTTACTTCTTAGGAGAAATCAATGTTAAAAGGGGAGGAGGGGGGGAGGCTAAAACTTAAATTTTGTTTTATTATTTAATTAATTAAATCATAATAAAAGTAAAGACAAAAAAATATATATCTCTAAATATACTTCTTTATAACTAAAATTTATTAAATTGAACACCTCTGTTTTTAGTTTTAAGTAAATGTCAGTACTACTCTCAGTGGCGAAACTGCGGGGGGGGGGGGGGAATTAGCAGACAAAAAGTGTCCTATTTTTAAACTAATTTTAGGTTGCATGGGCGATATGGGACTCATTTTGAAAATCGTGCGAAGGGGGGGGGGGGGGGATTTTGCTACTGACTAATGTTCTTAATACAAAGGTAGGTGGGGGTGGGAATTTTAGTCAGGATGTATAAAATAAATAAATATAAATTATTGTTAAAATAATAAATTTATTGTTTTGTTTTTTATAACATTTTCACTAACAAATTAAAGTTTATTCCCTATTCCGTAAATTTCGTGGTTTTCCATAAACTGAAACTTTGAAGACCAGATAATTTAACAGATATCGCAAATTGCGATGCGTTAATTCAACCCTTGTAAATTTGTAAAGAATGAATTTCCTTCCTAGCTTTGTGTAATTTTCTTTTTTTATCAATGTTCTTTTTAGCATAATTTTTGAGAACAAAACAACACCAATGATTCATACTATTTACTAATTTATTAAGTAACATATTAATTATCCTTTCAAAATGTTATTTACTTTATAATAAGTACTGTTTTCATTCATATGTCGATTATTTATGTTATGTTTTTTATATTACAATGGTAATATATTTTATTGTTGATATTTTCTTTAGCTTTTGATCAAATAAAAAAAGAATTAGGAGATAATTTCTTTATTAGGTTTGTTTTTTATTTCTAATGGAAATATTTATCATTTTAGTATGCAGAAATATTTTGCCATTTATATTAGTAGTAATATATAGTTTTAATAGTTGTTTTTAGTAACTATTGTTTAGTTAAACTCATTTATGTTTAGAGTTAATTTTGATCATGCTGAAAAAGCAAATACAAATGAGTTAACATTTCGAAAAGGAGAAATTTTCAATGTTCGTGATACTATGTACCAAGGTTTGATAGGGTATTGGCAGGCACAAAGGGTTGGAAAGAATGCGCAGATGCTTGAAAGAGGTGTCCTCCCAAATAAATCAAGGTAAAAATATATATTTAGTAAAGAAATTCCATACAAAATTCTTCGAATTTTGTCAAATTGATTACATTGCGAATTATTTAGATAATATATGAGCTTCTTCAAAATCACTATTTTCTATCTTCAAATTCATTACTTCATTTTTTAGAGCAGAGCAACTTGCTATTGCACAGAAGATGGAAGAAAGACAAACACTAACACCTAGTAAATCAAAATTAAAAAGAAGGAATTCCATTGGTGGCACTCTTAAAAAGCAAAAATTTGTTTCACAAGACCGTTTAGATGAGTTATCTTTTAGTAAGTTTTTAGTTAAATTTTTTTTTATTGTTAAAATATTGTTCATATATGTTGTGCAGTCTTTTAAAGTTTCTAATACCCTTTTACTTCCTATAAATGTCATTATTTACCAAGTCTGCAAAAGTACAATTATAAATTTGAAACCTAGTTATTAAAAGCATCTGTAGTAAAGCCCTAGTGTCAGAGTCTAAAGGACTGAGGTTTGGTCATATAAGCAGGAAAGGTGGCATTAACTGTCTTACCAATGCTGTTCTGTGGTGCTCTGTGGCAAGACTGTCAGATTTTCTTAAAGCAACTTAAAAACAAGAGGAAAAAATTATTAGATTATTTTTTATGTACTATAATCTAAATAAAATTTTTTTAGCTGAAGGTGTTCAAATCCCAGCTTATGAACGTGTTGTACTTAAAGTAGGTAAGTTAGTTAAGTTTCTGCTGTACTACTATTTTTATCATTGGTTTATGTTAAATATTCTAGTCATTATATGTCAAGAATACTTAACAGCTTAACATAAATTGATCAATTGACACATAATACTAATAAGATATTTTTAACGTAGTTCTTCATAACATCTGTGTAGATATTCAGTTTTTTCACATTTTGTTTATATAATATCTTTATGTAAATGTGCAAAATGATTATAAATATAAAATAAAGTAATATATTGCTCAACATCCAACCTTAAAAATACTTGGTTGTTGTTTTTTTAGCTGATTTTATGAGACCAGTTGTTGTGCTTGGTCCTTTAGCAGATTTAGCCAGAATAAAGCTTCTTGAAGAAATGCCTGATCGCTTTGAACTTCCAAGTATAGCTTTTGTTCTACATCTTTTTTTCTACGTTTTTTGTCTCTAGCTCTTTTTTTTTTTCTTGCTTTTTGTGCAGTTTTATAATTAACATTAAAAATAAAAAATTATTTAATAAGGTCCATCAGCTTATGATCATCCTGGTGATAACAACTCAATTAGTTTATCAGAAATTAGAAATGTCATAGCAAAGAACAAACATTGTTTGTTGGATATAGTACCTGAAGGAATTGAAATGCTTATGTATGCACAATTATGTCCGATAGTTGTTATGCTAAACAGTCCATCTCGGGGTGCAGTCAAAGATATGAGGCAATCTTTAGTTAAAGAAATATTAAGTTCTCCTACAAATGTCACCAATTTTACAGGTGATCCACTGAATGCAAAACAGGTTAAAAATCTTTTTAATAATGCAAATAAACTGAATGAATTTTATCCACATGTCTTCACTTCTAAAATTAACACTCATATTGCTGGTGGAGATGTTTTAAGTAGAGCATTTTATGAAAAATTAAAAGAGGTTATTTTTACTCAGCAATCACAATCTGCATGGATGCCAGAAGAAAAGGTTTATTTAGTTTTTTTATTTTGCCTAAAATAATCCCCAATTGCCAAATCAAGTTGTATTCATATCATAAATAATCCTTAAAAAATAAGTTTCATGTTAATTAAACTTCCCAGAACAAATTATTTATCAAGATATTAAAGAAAAACCTTATAATTTTTGCTGCTTTTTTTTTTTTTTTCTTTCCCTGAAGGTAAGTTCTGGCTCTTTTTTTTAATTACTGGTCTGTTTAATGCGCTTTTGTAGTTAATAAATGACGTCCATCAAAACTAATATTAGTGCGATAAGTATAAGATATGTAAATTTAAAAATTATACTAATATTTGTTAAAAACAAGTTCTGTTGACAAAATTTTATAACCAGAAATACTATTTTAATTTTTTTTTTTTTTTTTTTTTTAATTTGGATCTAGTAAGAAATAATGCAAATAAATTCAATTTCACGGTAAAATACAAAAATAAAAACAAAATAGTTTAATCAAAATAAAAATAAAATTAAGTTAGAAAACTAAGTTACAATTTTTATTTTGTCAAATTTATAGTTATATTTCAATTTAGAGTTAATATTAACCAGAAGTATAATGGCAAAATAACAAATGTTTTTTTTTTTGATATCTCAATAAATAATTTGTTTTGGTAATTTTAATAAACTCAAAACTTATTTTCTAATGTTTGTTTACAAAATAAACATAAATAGTTTTGCACTTGGGACTCGCTTTTAGCATTTATGACCAAATGCTTGATTTACATTAAATTTGCTAAATTTAATAAAATTATTTTTGGTTTTAGCCTGATGAAATGTTGGATGATATGATGTTTCATCAACCAAATTATATCTCTTATACATCTGGTGTTGATAGTGACACAGAGGGTGAGAGTGCATCTTCTTCTCCTGTTTTTGCGAGAAAACATTACGATGATAATGAAAGGTTGTTTTTTTTATTTCAAATGTTGTAAATTAATTTTTTTGTGTGTGAGTTCATACATAAAAAGTCATTCTTTATATATTTTTAATAAATATGACCACCATTAAGAGCAGTTGCCTCTCTTGAGATTTAAAATTATATAAATATTTTGTAGTATTACCTTTAATAATGTTTTATTTGAATACCAACCTTTCCTAGTGTGTAAGGCAGTAACATAGTGTTTGCTTTGTTTTATATATATATATATATATACATACATACATACATACATACATACATACATACATACATACATACATACATACATACATATATATATATATATATATATATATATATATATATATATATATATATATATATATATATATATATGATATTTCATATTTTTATCAAAATATATGATATATCATATTTCTATCAAAAACATATATGTCTTCATCTTAATATTATATCATATATTATATTATATAATATATCATATTTCTATCAAAAACATATATGTCTTCATCTTATATTATATGATGAATTTTATTATATGATGAATATTATATGATGAATTTTATTCATCATGCTTAACTTAAGGTTTTTCTATTATATTTGGTTTTGTATTGGTATTGTTGGATTTGTTGTTTTGTTTATTTTTACCCTTGAATTTTTTTTTTTTTTAAAAGCTTTTTTAAGTTTTTTGATTACTTTTCAAAAATAAAGATTCCTTTTTTTTATTAATACTACATTTAACTAAACTAAAAATTATTAAATCAAAAATCTTTTAGTCCTCCTGAATCTCCGATTGATGATGCTCCAGTATTTAATCCTCCTGAACCAGATAAAAAACCTACTGATAAAGAAAAGACTAGGGAAAAGTCTAAAGATAGAAAGAGGGATCGCTCTAGTGAAAGGTTAAAAAAAACTAATTATTGTTTAGTTGCGATTTTAATATATTTGTATATTTTTAATATTGTTTTTCTTTTATAGGGATCATGTTAAAAATGAAAAGGTTAAAAAAGATAAGGATCCTAAAGCAGCAAAAGAACGAACAATTGAACCTTATGATGTAGAACCTCCCACAGCTGTTAGTCATTTTACTTGTTTTTTTAAATCTTTCAGCTTTTTTTTTTTTTTTTTTTTTTTTATGTATTATTTTTTACTTGTTTATAGATTCTTGACAAAAATATAGATGTGAGGAGTTCACTTAGAAAAGAATCAAGTAAAAATGTTCCTCCCACCAATGATTACAGGGAACCTCCAAATGGGTATAGACCACCAGAATATAATGAGTTCTTGAAGCAAGACTATAGAGAGTCATTTAGAGACAACAATAGAGACTCTGCTTCAACAAAAAAGATTAAAGATACTGTTTATGAACCAGTTTCATTAAAAATTAATGAGAAAGATCTGTTGGAAGAAAATGTACCTGTTCTTCGTGATCCAAACTATGTACTTCCAAAACCAATACCTGATTCTCCTCCTACAAGAAGTCCACCTGAAGCAAGGCTGGTTAATTCAGTTAGGTACTGTTAAATTTAATTAAAATATTTTACTATAATTTTACAATGATTTTTAATAATAACTTAAAAATATTTTTAAATTGCAGAGTTTTTCCAACTGAAATAAAAACAGAAGTTTCGATGGATGAGAAGATTCGCTCCTTAAAGAAAGTTGATCCTGGTGAAGACCATTATGATAGTCCAAAGCGGCCTGTCTACAAAGAGCCTGAGCAGTTACCGTCATATAGAACTAACCAACCTGAGGAAGTACCTACAAAAGTTCTTACATTGCAAGAAAGAATGAGCAAATTTCAGCAAAAAGTTACATCTCAACCACCCAAGGTTTTATAATTGTTTTATATATATATATATATATATATATATATATATATATATATATATATATATATATATATATATATATATATATATATATACACACACACACATCTTTACACAATTTATTTTTTAAGTGGTTCTGATTAAAATAGAGTTATCCACATTTATATTTTTCATAATGTAATGGGAAAATATAATATGATTACTTTTTTATCCATAATCAAATTAACAAAATTTGAACTAAATGTTGAACATGATGAAATTCAGCACCTTTTAATCATTAATTACTCAAAAACTTCTTGACAAATTTATAAATCTTTTTTTGCACAAGGAAGCTAATGTGTTGTTGTTTGATTGTAATGGTAATAAGTATTGGTTATCATTGTTATCGGATTAAAATGAGTAAACAAATATTAAATCGAAAAAAGTTTTAGAAAACTTTCTTCAAAATCCTTCATTGTCACAAGTTGACATTTCAAAATTAATGGTGTTTCTTGATAATCAGTTGGATTTATTTTGCGGCGATATAAACAGACTCAATCTATTGAAAGATAAGCTGGAAGTGGAAAAAAAAAAAGAATTTAAAGATAAATATAAAGCAAAATCAGTTGTTCGCTCCATAAAGGCAAATTTATGTGATGGAGAAGTTAAAGCAATTTGTTGTTCAAAAAAGCTATATAAACTTTTAGAATGAGAGAACTTGTGCATAATTGAAGACGATGAAACCTATTGCAAAAAGGATTTTTCACAATTGCCAGGGCAGCAATATTTTTATCAGTCGAAAGGTAGATATGTTGCCAAAAAATTCAAGTATATTCAAACTGAAAAATTTGCTCCCAAGTTCCTTATTTGGCAAGCAATCTGCTCCTATGGTTTAAAAAGTGCACCATACATTACTCGTGAAACTTTGAACGCAGATTTATATATAAAAGAATGCTTAATGAAATGCCTTTTGCCATTTATTAAAATAGCATGAAATGCTCACAATATTTGAGCATTTCATGCTATTTTAATAAATGGCAAAATCACAATATTAAGAAGTCTCTACAATGGTATGAACAAAATGGTGTTGAATTTGTTTCTAAGGAAGCAAATCCTCCAAATTGTCCTGAGCAGCGAGTTTTTGAAAGTTTTTGGTCAATTATAAAAGAAATCTTATTGAAAAGCAAGAAATAAGCTACAAATAAAAAAGATTTAAAAATAAAATGGATAGCCGCCTCAAAATAAGTAACTCAAAGCAAGATCCAACAGATGATGTCAAATACTTGCTAAAATATTCAGTTTCTATCTAAGCATCCAATAAAAAATGTAAAAAATTATTGAAATAAATAAATAATTCAATTAGCTTCATTGTGTCAAAAAATTACAAAAATCTGTTAAGTATTTTTAGATTAATTAACAATTTAAGGATGCTGAATTTCATCGTGTTCAATCGATAATTATCAATATTTTCTAATAAAAAAAATTTAACAATTTGTCAAGCTCTAACAAACATTGGACCACCAAAAATTGGATGTTTTAAATATTATTAAAATTCAAAAGTTTAACTCATTTTTTAATTGGATTATTATTTAGGCTATACAGAAATTGAAAAAAATTAATTAGAATATTAATGCAATTAATTTTTTACTTCGTTTTTGTATTTAAACATACTTAAAAAGTTTACCTACAACTTTTAATCTATAAATTTTTTAGTTCATAACAAATAAAATACGTGTATTTTATTTTCTAGAGTAATTAAAAAATATATATGTAAGAAAAAGAGGCCCCTAAAGATTTTAATGCCTAGGGCTTCAGTTTTCTTTAATCCGGTGCTGCTGCCAAGCAGTAAAACAAATTTAACAATTTGTCTAACAAACACTTGTTATTTGAATTAGTTATTATTATAAACATCATCAAAAGCATCAAAGCAAGCTAAGAAACAAAGGAAGCTTGACTTTGATGGGCAGCAGATAAATCAATCAAAAACAGTGACTCCAACAACAACAACAGCACCAAACCAAGTCAAATGTAAAAAGTGCCCGAATGTTTTGAGTGAAGTTTCAGCAAGTCAGAAGAGTAAATAATATCAGTGCGGAAATTTAAAATGCAAGGTTTGGCTTTGTCAAACATGCATTCAAAGTGATTCAAAGGGACGGAGTTAAATTATACCAAGGAGTGCAGCACTAGTGACAACTCAACCTTCAGAAGATTGATATCATCACATAAATAAAAATACTTTCTTTAACAATTGGTTGTTTTTTTAATTGTTATCATTGGTTGCACTTTTTAATAAAGTATTCTTTTAATTAACCCAACAGTTTTAAACCCATCAATTTGCATATTTCATTCTCCACAAATATAGGATAGAATGAACTAAATTTTTTATTCCAATTAAATAAAGCCTAAAAAACTTTTTAAAAATCAATGTTTGATTTTTATATATTTAAATAAACTTCAACTTAAAAAAAAGAATTAAAAATATTTTTCCCTTTTTTAAAAAAATAAATTAAAGCTCATAACTATTACATTTAAACCGGGATTTGTTAAAAAATTAAACATACATGAAACGATTTATCATCTGTAGGTTTATAATAATTTATGATTACTTAAATTGAATATGAACATAAGTTGTGTACATGTTTTTTTTAACATGAACATAACTTGTTTAAACAGTTGGGAATCCTTTTAAAAAACCTAACCCGGGAAAAAGATAATTGTGACAAAACATCTACTCTAATTGTGGGTGCGGATAGGAGGAGCTTGTAAAGCTCGAATGGTCCTTTTTTTTAGTGGTAGTATCAAAATAAATTCAGTTTTGATCTGTGAAACAGGTTGTCTCTGATTGTCTCAGTTTCGATCTGCAAAAAACAGGGTTGTAGTATTGTCATAGAAGTACACAATATCTACATACATTTATAAGATTTAAACAATTCATACCATTAATTACAATTTTGTATACAAATAACTGTGATTTTTTAATTTTAGTTTTTAAAACTCCAAAGACAGAATCAGTAATTTTAGATTATTTGAAACTAGGTGTAATATGATATCAAGTCAGTACAGATTATCTGAAATTGAGTGAACTACATTAGTGGTACAGCAACTAAAAGTTTTACTTTTAGTTGTTGTACAACAACTAAAAGTTTTACTTTTAGTTGTTGTACCACTAATGATTACTTCGAATTTAAAATTTACAGAAGTCATATTGACTAAATTTAGGCTGGAAATTCTTTTTATAACATTTTAACTAACTTCGCTTCCTTCATCTTGCTTTCCTGATTCATATAATTTGCAATCTTTTAAGTTGTCTGTCAATCGTTATTTTGCTCTACAATCTTCATCTTTTCTCTTCCAGTAACTTCCAACACTAATTAGTGGTTGCTTGCTTATGTTATAAAAAAAAAAAATCTTTTCCGGCTCTAATTTTATAAACTGATCTTAGCACATCCTTAATATGACTAAATCTTTTAGTTTAATAAAATGTAAAATTGTTAATTGATTTACATACTTTTCATCATATTTTTATACAATATTAAATTTAGGTTGCTGTTCCACAAGATGAATCACCTCCTCCTCGACCATCTGCTCCGAGAAACTATATTATTGATACAAGAAATCAGCCTGGTTCACGTCAAGAGCTTTATGCTCAAAATATTTATAAACCAACAACTCAGTATCCTGAAGTAAAACAAGTGTTATCAAAATCAAATCCAATAGTAGAGCCTTATGCAACAGTAAATTTTGCTCCATCAGTTGAATCATCTGTTCCTAATTATGATATTGTGAAACCACGTTCTCAATTAACTACTAACCTAGATTATGGCAACTCACGTCAGGAACAAGAACCGTCTTATCTTAATAATTCTGACTCACACTACAAGCAACCTTCAAAATATGAGGGGTACAGCATTCCTTCATCTAATTATAAAAAACCTTCTAATGATGACTATTATCCTCCATATAAACCTCCACAAGATAAAACTAATTACCGAGACGAAGAAGGGTACTAACATTGACTAATATTTACTAATGTCAATATTTGTATACATGTAGTTTTTATTACTTAGGGATTCTTTTTTTTAAGTTTGTAGCTTTACATTTAGTGATGATGAACCTAAAGTTATTGCAACTGCAAGAGGTTGGTTTGATCATCGTGGAGGTCTTCTAGAGTCTTCAGAAACAAATGTTAGTATATATATTCCTGCTGGTGCTTTACCTGCTGGTCGGCAACAAGAAGTTTACTTCAAAGTATGTCAAGACAGCAAGCATATGCCTCCTTTAGATTCAAGTAGCGGTGAGTTTTTAAATTTCTAACAAAACTGCAGTGAATCTTTAATTAGCAGATACATATTATTAGGAAGTCAATTGTATTTGATGTTCTCTTTAATGCTTTTAATCCTTAAAATAAATCTCAATAATTAGTAAAAGCAGATGGTGTTATAAAGAAAAGCATTCTCGTATTAAGAAAAATTTTAAAACTTAATATTTGTTAAACATAAACACATAACACTGCTTTGTTTCTTTTTAATACCATTGAAGTGTCTAAAATATTTTTTATTAATTCTTTTATTGTTGATGATACTGTTAATTATGTTAATAATATTGTTAATTATGTTAATAATATTGTTAGTTATTGTTAATAATATTGTTAATAACGTTAATATGCGTTTTTTTTTTTAATTCATAGGTGAAACTTTATTAAGCCCTCTTGTTATGTGTGGACCACATGGTCTTAAGTTTAAAAAGCCAATTGAGCTGCGACTTCCTCACAAAGGAGCAACTAGTGATGGAATGGCATTTTCGTTAAAGTCTTCAGATAGTACAACAGTAGGAGGAAGTGGTAAACTTATAATTTTGAAAATATGTAATTATTTCTTATTAATCAAACTATAGTTATTTAAAATTCAATTACTAACAACCGGAGTTAGGTACTGAAATCCTAAACAGTAATCATTAAGAAAACGATGTAACTAACTTCTTAAACTCTTAGCCATGGCGATTTTGTTAAGCTTCAATTTTGTTTTGGAACTCATCCTAATAATTTATAAAGGAAAACGAATGTTTTTTTTGTCAAAAAAAAATATATATTTTACACTTCAAGTTTGTTTTCAGAACATTTTAAATTGATAGTGTTTGCTGTAAAACAAGTGTGCCTCAATGCTTATGAAATAAAAATAATTTTTTAAAAGATTTATAATAGTATTTATTTTACAATATTGTATATTATATAGTTCATAGAATTATATATTTATACTTGTTTAGTGTTAAAATAGGACCGGTGGAACAATGATGTTTATACAAATAAACACTTTTACTAAAGCGAAAAGTTTTTGCAACAATAGCTTATGCATTTAACTAATTTTTTTTTTTAATTGCTTTACAAATCTACGCTAAACCTTTTTTTATATTTGCTTAGGACCTGGACATTGGAAAAATGTAAAACTTGGTGGAAGAGATTTAGATTCTGGTCGAGCTTATCAAGTTACAGATGATACTGTTTCAGTTCTTGTCGATCATTTCTAAAGGTATGTTTTGCAATAGTATTTCTAAACATTTTGTTGAAATAAAATTTAAAGTTGTATTGGTAAAATTGTTTTAATTTATTTTATAGCATTTTTCGTTGCCGTCAGTTTTGTTACTCTGATTTTAAACTTCGATCGAATTATTTGTTTATAGTCAAAACATTTGTACAAAATTGTCCTCTATTTTTATACGTTTCCGTCATATTTATTATGTACGGATTATTTATTTCAAATTCGCTGAAACGGTTTAAAGTCTAAACACTACACCAAAAAGTGAATGGATTAATATCTTACACAACGTGGTACACAAATGTGATCAGAAAACTTTGAAACATACTATAATTTATACATTGCTAATGCGCAAACTAACTGAATGATTATTGCTATCTGATCATGTTTTTATTTCTGTAAATAATTACTAATCATAATTTTGTATTTTTGACAAGATTTTCTTTCTTAATTGACAATCCTTGTGCATTTTTTTTTTTAGGATTTATTGATTGTGATTTTATATTTCTTGCTATTTTTGTACGTTTTGGTTTGAATACTTTTGTAAAATACTTCTTTAATTTGGCTAGCAATGGGATAAATTGTTTTGGGGTTGATTTTTAAGTAATAAAATGGCATAATTAGTTATATTAAAATTTAGTTATCAACATTTTATACACATTAATTATTTTGTATTTCTTTTATTTATATTTCTTTTTTTTAAATCTTGTCAATTCATTTTCATAATGTAAATTTAGGTGTGAGTATATTTTAAAACCTTTTAATGTTGTTTTTGTTCTTGCAATGTTTTAACGCAATTTTATTTCGCTGAAAATATTGGTATTGTTTGTTTTGGATGTTAACGTCAGAGGTTTGATTTGACCTGTTCCCAGTGTATATCCTTAAAAACAACCATGGAAGAAAAGCTTTTTCTAAACTGGTTTAGAACATGTGATATCTCAATAAATAGTAATTCTAAACTGGTTTAGAATATATGATATCTCAATAAATAATAGATTTTGAAATGTTTTTATTGAAAAAATTGCGTTAGAATGTTTTTTTAATTTTTCTAAAGAAAAACATTTTAACAAAGCCGAATTTCCCATTTTAACAAAGCCGTTTTTCCGTATTTCCTTTCTAAATCGAAACTCAGGTTAAAACTCTCCCTGCTGTTGAAAATCAATCATTTGCGTTCGTAAACGCAATTTAAGTTGTGAACTATGTATGTATATTTTCAAAACTAAAACTTATAATTTTTTGCTTTTTTTCAATAAGTCCGCCATTGCGGTAGTTAAAATAAGCTGCTTTCCGGATATAATTATCATTTTCCAATATGACGCCCGATTTTAAATTTATGTACTTGTGTAGTTTGCTTGATAAAGGTACTAGATCAAAATTTTTAACACTTTCAATGCCCTCTGTAGGTGAAAAAAGTGTAAAGTTTGCCCTTCAGTTGTTACAACTACTGAAGGCCAAACTTTAGTCATCTAGAATGCATATCTTTCTAACTGGTCGGAGATTATAGCAAAAATACTAAATATGAATTAATTGATACTTTTTGATAAAAATGTTATCACTGAGTAATAAATTTTGTTGCATTATGATGCATAAACAATAGAATTTCTCTGCTAATAATTTAAAGGCCAATTCTTTTAACTGTGGAAACTTTTCTTCGTCTATCCAATAATTTAAACCATAATTGTTTTTATCTGTAGTTGAGAGATTAAAATAAAATATTTTTTTTTTTGAGCAGCTTCTACAAGGGAGACTAGCTCAGCTTGTACGAGGGAGACTTACTCTGAATTTTTATGACATCATATAGCAACTGAAGTTACAAAATTTGAATTTTGTTATTATATTTTTTCAATTTATGTCAAATAAAGTAATATGTACAAAGATTGTAACTCAATTATATTTAGCTTTGATCTTTCATTTTTTTAGAACTTGTTAGATAAAAATCAAATGTAAGCAAAGTTGAAGGAATGTTTCGTGCCAAATTAGAGCTAACATTAACAAAAAAACTATTTTTTCAGCTATTAGCATTTTATCACAAATTAAAATACCGTCAATGAAAAATTTTTATTGACGGTAAGTTCATCATTCACAAAAAAATATTGAAGTTTACTGGCGGATCAACAAAAGCTCTTAATTCCCATCTACTTCATTTGCTTAAAATAAATTTAAAAGCAGAACTAGCACGTTCTCTGACATCGGAAGAAGAACCACAAAGTTAAAAAAGTAAAATTAGTTTTTTTTTCCATCGAATATTAATAAAGAAGGCTGTTTGTCTAAAGTGCTTGCAAGATTAACAGTTAAATATGGTATTTCCATTGATACACGAGCTGGGCTGGCTATGAGGCGATTTGTCAACATACCTAAATCTCCAAACACTGTTGAAAAATTGGTACTAGATTTCTCTAACAATATAAAGATCGTTATAAGAAATGAATTAAGACAAAAAATTAACTGTGGAACTAAGTTTACCATTTCTTTTTTTATAAGTGGACGTCGTCGAAATACCCGTTGTTTGAATTTAAACTATAGACACTTAATGTTTCTTATTTTATTAGGTTTTCAATAAAATAAAAAGTCGCTTAACTGATAATAGTTTAGTTGGTTAGAGCTTCTGCGAGCATATTTTTTAAAAACAAAATAAATAGCTTTATGTACAAGTTTTATTCACTTTACAAACCCTGTCATTGTATCAAGTGCCATATATATATATATATATATATATATATATATATATATATATATATATATATATATATATATATATATATATATATATATATATATATAAATTTTTTTTATCTTCACATTTTTCTCGTTGTTTACAAAGATTAACAATCAAGGCTTCTGAACGAAGATCATAATGATCTTATCATCAGAACCTTTTACAAATTTTTTAAAATCAATACATTAACATAACTAAAAAACTACAATAAATCGTGATATAAGTTATATATAATAAAAAATCTGATCATATCATCAGATCTTATAAAAACGTAAATATATAAATACATATATATACATAGTAAATACAGTAATACATTTCTTTTTTTAAAAGGCAAGAGAAAACAGTCTTACAATTAAAAAGACAAATACGTGATTGTTATAAAAAGTATTTAAATATATCATCAATAGATAAAATAAAATTTTTTAATTTACTTTTAAAGATCGGAAATGTATTGGATATATTAAAATTAGGTATAACAATTTAATTCCAAATATAGGGTGCTCGAAATGTAATGCAAAATTTGTTGGATTTTGTTCTGTAAATAGGTTCATGTACAAAATTTTTATTTTTAAGTAAATATTTATTGATTGGGTTTAGAGAAAAAAGGTCTTTAAAGACAGGTAAAGTTAAATCGTTTTTCCACATGTAAATAAATTAAAAATGTTATAAACATTGAGCTCGTAAATATTAAGTATTTTCATCTCCATAAATAATGGTTTGGAATGAGTAAAACGATCCGCAAAATTAATCAATCGGATCGCATGCTTCTGACGGCGAAAAATACATTTTACCTTACTTTTTTTGGTGCTTCCCCACGCTATGTTGGCATAATTAATATAGGTATGAATAAATGAATAATAGAGTTGGGTTAAGGCTTTTTTGTTTAAATATGATCTAGATTTATATAAGACTCCGTTACTTTTAGATATTTTTGAGCAGATATTTTCTATATGCGGTTTCCATGTAATGTTCTCGTCGAGAACCACTTCTAAAAATTTAGTAACAAAATCTCTTTTTATTTCAACTATCAATAAATATTTTGGGTAAATTTTGGGTAAATAGCGTTTTTTAGAGAGTGTATGGGAAAGAACCCATTTGGTTTTATTAATGTTAAGAGTTAACTTGTTACATTTGAACCATGTAGATATGTTTTTAAGTTCATCATTCATTGTAGAAAAAAGTTTGGATATGTCATTATTAGTCAGGAATAGTTGGTGTCGTCGGCAAACATGATACTCATTAAGTTTGAGGCTTTATTAAAGTCATTTATATAGAATAAGAACAAAAGTGGCCCCAAGATAGAACCTTGGTGAACACCACAGGAAATATTTAGCAGATGGCTTTGGTTATAGTTATAAATAAAAACAAATTGTTTGCGGTTTGATAAGTAACTACAAAGCCATTTTATAGTTATATAGTTTAATCTGTAGTGTTTTAGTTTTTTTATGGATTTTTTCAAGGATTTCATGGTCGACAGCATCAAAAGCCTTCGACAAGTCAATAAAAACACCTAATGTAAATAGGGATCTTTGACAGGAATTTGAGATTTCTTGTTCAAATTGGATGATTGCATGTTAAGTAGAATTATTTTTTTTGAAACCAAATTGATTATTATAAATAAGATTATTGGAGACAAGATAATTGTATACTCTATTGTACATAATACGCTCTAAGATTTTTGAAAAGGTAGAAAGGATAGATATAGGGCGATAGTTACTGATATTGCTACAGTCTCGATCTTTCAAAATTGGAATAACTTTTGCAATTTTTAGACGATCAGGAAAAACTCCTTGGTGGACAGATGATTTATAAACTTTATAAAGAATATTTTTGAGATGATCAAAACACTCGATAATTATGCCACCATTAATTCTATCAGCTCCGATAGCTTTTTTTTTTAGTGATTTGAAGGCGGTTTTAAATTCATCAAAAGATAATTCTGAGTATATTTCTTTGGAACAGTTGCAATCATCCATTGGTACTAAGACGTCATTTATTAAAGGCGACTGGGGTAAAGGGAACTTTATTAGCTAATTTAGGGCCGATTTCGATAAATTATTTATTAAATTCGTTAGATATAGCTTTTGATTCATAAACACTTTTGTTATCAACTATAATCATTTGAGGGAGGGAACTTGAGAATGTTTTTTGATTGCCAGTAATTTCATTTATTACTAGCCAAGTGCGCTTAGAGTTATTTTTAAATTTGTCTAATATTCTAGAGTAATAATTTTATTTTAAGCGTTTACGAATTTTTTTGAACAACTATTTATAATCTTTGTATATTTTTCATTTTTGGACAATTTCGATTTAAGATATTTTATATACAACTTCTGTTTTGTTTTAGATGACTTTTTGAAACCCTTGGTAACCCAAAGGTTATTAAATTTTTTTATTTTAACTATTTTTTCAATAATTGGAAAGTTTGAATCATATACGGCGTAAAATGTTTTAAAGAAGGTCTCATAAATGGTGTCAACATATATATATATATATATATATATATATATATATATATATATATATATATATATATATATATATATATATATATATATATATATATATATATATATATATATATATATATATATATATATATATATATATATATATATATATATATATATATATATATATATATATATATATATATATATATATATATATATATATATATATATATATATATATATATATATATATATATATATATATATATATATATATATATATATATATATATATATATTTTCGCCAACTATAGACACCAAAAAAAAAAAAATAAGGTCGGACAAAACGAGTACAACCAAATAATGCTAATTTAGTTTCTTTATATAAAAGTACTGCATTTTTTCAATTTAAAAGAAATAACTATGTAACTGTTTAGTGACAACGTTCTTCAAGTTTTATTCATCACAAAGTTCAACAATTGTACACAGAAATTAATAAATTAATCAAAAGTATTAAAAAAATTGATTTCCTTCTGGACAAAAAAAAAATGCAACTCCACAAAAAGTTTACCAAGCTATCAATATTTCGTTG